CATCCTAAATCACTTCTCTTGGGCCCCATGAGGTACAAGATGGACTAAACCTTATCTTCCTTGGCATGTAAAGACTTCGTTAAATGTGAAGTAATATTTTTTAACAGCCTTCATCCAGACCAGGTCCTCTGAATGACCATGAATGAAATGTCTGAAGTCTCGAGATTATTACAAGTAGGGACATGAAACAGGCTAAGTTCTATTTTAAAGTGGACCATTTTATACATGTTTACATTTTCCTTTCAAATCAATCACCTAAAATTACAAATAAGACTTACAGTTAAAGCAGGCTATTGCCTATCTATATCCCCTAACAGAAAATAGGAACTGAAAACAGCGACCCTCTAAATTGGTCTTCAATGGTTCTTTCACCCTGGCTACTCACACCCCATCCCACACTGAATAAGGCTAACCTGTGTAACCAACAGCACATTGTGGAAATGACAGAATGAGACTTCTGAGGATAGGTCAAAACAGTCATGACTTCCACCCTGCCCTCTCTTGGTTACTCCCTCTTCGGGAAGCCAGGTGCCATGTTGTAAAGATAATCAAATAGTCCTATAGAAAAGTCAATGTGGTGAGAAACTTAGGTCGTCTGTCAATGGATAACACCAACTTTCTATTCATCGGGGTGAGTTATCTTGGGAATAGATCTTTGAATCCCAATCCAGACTTCATACATTTTTTTTTTTTTTTGAGACAAAGTCTTACTCTGTTGCCCAGTCTGGAGTACAGTGGCATGATTTTGGCTCACCGCAACCTCCACCTCCCAGGTTCAAGCGATTCTTCTGCCTCAGGTTCCTGACTAGCTGGGATTACAGGCACACAACACCATGCTGGCTGATTTTTGTATTTTTAGTAGGGATGGGGTTTCACCATTTTTGGCCAGGCTAGTCTCAAACTCCTGACCTCAGGTGATCTGCCCACCTTAGCCTCCCAAAGTGCTAAGATTACAGGTGTGAGCCACCATGCCCAGCCATGCCTTCATACTTTCATAGAAGAAAAATTTTAAATGATAGACATAGCCCTCCTTCCCTTTTGAGGTTATAATTATCCTAAATATTTATCTTTATTGCTTTGTATATTATTATTGGTGTATTTTTTGGATTGCTATAAATAAGACCTGTCAAATCAGAGAGGTGGATATAGCAAAAGCTTTTTAAGGTTCCAGTTAGAGTACAAGTAGAGATATCTAAATTATAAAAAATAAAATTTTCAGCTAGACACAGTGGCTCACGCCTGTAATCCCAGGACTTTGGGAGGCTGATGTGGGAGGACTGCTTGAGCTCAGGAGTTTGAGACCAGCCTGGGCAACATAGCAAGACCCCATCTCTATTTAAAAAAACACTTTTTAAAATAAAATTTTCTTTTTATAGAGAAGCCTGTGATTTCTATGTTAAACACATGTACACATTGCAGAGTGGTAATTCTTTTAAAAAATGGAATCTATAGCTAAAAACTGCTCTCTGCAATATTAGTTTCTACCTATTAAATGATAATATCTTTAACAGATGGAAAGATTAGGAGTAAAATGTGAAGGTATCCTAACATTAAAAAGACTTTTCAGAACTTGAAAGAAAACATTATGCTAAGTGAAGGAAAGCCAATTACAACATATCACATGGTATGATTCCACTTAGAAGAAATGTCCAGAATAAGGGAAATTCATGGTCAGAAGGTAGGTTATTGGGTACCAATGGCTGGGGGGTAAAGGGAGCTGGAGAGTGACTGCTAATGGGTAAGGGTTTGTTTTTAGGGTAATAAAAATGTTCTGAAATTAGAAAGTAGTGCTTGCTGTGCAACTATATAAACATACTAAAAAACCACTGAACTCTATACTTTAAAAGGGTGAATTTTATGGCATGTGAATTGTATGTCAAGAAAGCTATAATTAAAAAAAAAAAAAAAAAAAACTTTTATTTTTCATCTATGGTTCCAAACCAATGTTTGGCAAAGCTTTTATAGGAAAATCTTGTTAATCACTTTCAGAAATGATTGATCTAGCTTACAGAAAAACCTATTCCAGAAATTCTTTTGATCTAACTAGGCAAGAAATCTTTCTTGTAATACTGAAAAGGTTTTCAAATGATCAAAAACTGTTTAACTTCCAAAAGAGTTCTGATTTTATTAATTCAGTAACTCTCTTCATTAAAACAGTTTTCCGGCCGGGTGCAGTGGCTCACACCTGTAATCCCAGCACTTTGGGAGGCCGAGGCAGGCAGATCATGAGGTCAGGAGATTGAGACCATCCTGAACAACACGGTGAAACCCCATCTCTACTAATACAAAAATTAGCCAGTCATGGTGGCATGTACCTATAGTCCCAGCTACACCAGAAGCTGAAGCAGGAGAATATCTGGAACCTGGGAGGCGGAG